TTTCCCGCCAAATGTCTGGGTTTCCGCCAGATGTCTGGGTTTCCCGCCAAATGTCTGGGTTTAGTGGTTATGATGCAGGGGTTTCGTAGTACAGTTGGCTTCGTTTCCGACTCCCATTCGGGAATCTCGGGCTCGATTTCCTGGTCAGACAGAAATGGGCATGTTTCTTTCCTCCCAATGCATCTGTTCAGCTAGCAATAAATAAGTACCCGGAAGTTGAAGTACCAGTTCAAATAACGTTGGTGACAAATTCAACGTTAATTTCTACGTCACTCTACGATATTGCGTCATTTGCGTCAGCGGAAGCCGTCAATGGCGTCTCTAATTATCTACATTCCTCTCGGTAAAATTAATGGCGTTATAGTGGGTATTTTTCCCTACCAGGGCCATTTAATCTCAATATTCTGGGACAGTATATCTTGAGGTTATCTTGAGATGATTTCGGGGCTTTAGTGTCCCCGCGGCCCGGTCCTCGACCAGGTCTCCACCCCCAGGAAGCATGCAGCCCGTGACAGCTGACTCCCAGGTACCTATTTTACTGCTAGGTAACAGGGGCATAGGGTGAAAGAAACTCTGCCCATTGTTTCTCGCTGGCGCCTGGGATCGAACCCAGGACCACAGGATCACAAGTCCAGCGTGCTGTCCGCTCGGCCGACCGGCTCCCTCCCAGTATGTAAATAAGGTTGCAACTGAGATTCCTTAACATTGCAGAGGGAGTTAAGTACATACGAGTCTTTCTCAAACGCCATTCCTAAGAAATACAAGAAATGAGTAAGACTTAGTGAGCCAATCAGAGGCTTAAAGCCCGGGGTTCTATATCCTTGGGAAATAAAAAAAACTGAACAAATCCACAAGGGCCGTGATGAGGGTTCGAACCTGCGTCCGAGAGAATCCCAGACGCTGCCTTAATCACCTGTGCTACGACATGGTTAAAAGAATTGTAACCGGGCGTTCAACTGACCTCACGGATCCTGCAGCCTCTCCGAGACACAAATCAGGGTTTTACACAATTGCCCTCAAGCGCTCGATCTCTGTCAATAAGCAGATCTTTTAACCATGTCGTAGCTCAGTCGATTAAGGCAGCGTCTGGGATCCTCTCGAACGTAAGTTCGAATCCTCATCACGGCCCTTGTGGATTTGTTCATTTGATACATCACGCTATTGTGATTTCTGTGTGTAAGGAAAACCTCTTCCAATCAGACTGTTGTTGCTTGAAGTGTGTCGCAAACCTCTTCCAATCAGGTATGGTTATCTTGAGGTTATCTTGATGATTTCGGGGCTTTTTAGTGTCCCCGCGGCCCGGTCTTCGACCAGGCCTCCTGGTTGCTGGACTGATCAACCAGGCTGTTAGACGCGGCTGCTCGCAGCCTGACGCCTAATCAACATTTATTAAACGGTTTACAAGCTTACAAACACAATCCAGGTTTATTATTGCCATAAACTAGCTCTTAGAGCTTCGGAGATCATAAACCGTTTTATAAATGTAAACAAAGCCGCCATGATTGAGGAGAGATGCACAGGTTTCGTAACTGTAGGGTGGCGATCCCTGGCGGGATGGGGGGGGGGTTAGGGGGTGGAGGACTGGCGCCAGGGGTAGCACAGATAGGTTCTGGGTTGACTCCGGCGGCGCCTGGTTGCTTCAGGGCTGTGTTGTGATTTGGCGCCCAGGAGTCTTTTATGGTTGATGGTGAACCGCGCGCACACACACACACACACGCACGCGCACACGCGCACACGCACACACGCACACCAGTGATGACTAAACAATGTCAGATCAGTTTGACAGGTTTTCAAAATCTTTCTCCTCTCTCTCTCCTCTCTCTCTCTCTCTCTCTCTCTCTCTCTCTCTCTCTCTCTCTCTCTCTCTCTCTCTCTCTCTCTCTCTCTCTCTCTCTCTCTCTCTCTCTCTCTCTCATATTTCAAAGGAATAATAGTGATGTTACTTTACATCAGATCATTTGAAGCCTGGCGAATGCCATATATTCTCTTCTGCAAAGGGTCCTCAAAAATCCAACCTATATATATGTAATCCAACCCGTAACTAATAATTGTAACACAAGTCTTTTGGTATATATATATACATATATATAATATTATTTACAGGTTTATACAACTGTATAACAACATTTAAGTGTGTCACTTGACTTGCTTTTCCAGAATATCAAGTTGTTGACAAAGTGAACACGTCCAAATGTGTGTCAGTCAAGGTGTGAAAGATGGCTGAGGAGATGAGTAGTGTGGTAGAGTTTGGCAACCCCAGCGTGACGCTGTTGCCAGCTAGAGCTCGTTGTAAATAACAGTCTAGCGACATCTCTCCAGTGTTGAAGGCCTTGATGTAATGAGTCGTCTTGCGCGGATTTCTACAAGATTATGTTCACGATGGCGTAAAGCTTAATTTTCACGTGAAAGTTTTACAGCCGCTGCTGTTAAGCAGGACTGAGATGAATCTCATTATCGTTTTGCTTGGGTTTAGAACGTGGCTTTCAATATCACTGAAGAATCGAATACCTGTCTCAAGATGTCCTCTTTATCAAGGAGCAAGAGGTTTATCTCGTCCATATTCATGACTTATAACAGTGGCGATATACCTGTGCCTTGATATCATCATGCAAGCCCTCTCTACGGCAAATATATCCTGACATCATATACTCCTGGGCGGATATTGTCATAAGTATGCGATTGCTGGGGAGGAAATGCCATTTGCTAGGCAAAGGTCAGTGTCGCAGTCGTCAATGAAGAGGACTGTAAACATTCCACAGCAGAGGGTCCAGTCCGTCACTACTTCCTTTATGGCAGTTACTGTTAGCTGTCATATAGTCTGAGGTATCTCTCACCTCTCTCTCACCTCTCTCTCACCTCTCTCTGTCTCTGTCTCTCTCTCTGTCTCTCTCTCTGTCTCTCTCTCTCTCTGTCTCTCTCTCTCTCTCTGTCTCTCTCTCTCTCTGTCTCTCTCTCTCTCTGTCTCTCTCTCTCTCTGTCTCTCTCTCTCTCTCTGTCTCTCTCTCTCTCTGTCTCTCTCTCTCTCTCTGTCTCTCTCTCTCTGTCTCTCTCTCT